CAAACGATTGTTATTAATCTTCGAGTGAATATCTATGTGCAAGCACTTACACTTGGATCACAGTCAAATGTTCAAAGATATGGTCTTCGATTGTATAATCCACTTCGTAATGTTGATGATACATATTATTCATCTCTTGTTCCTGAATATAATAATCAACCAAGTATAGTTGGAATACCATTAGCTAAAGTAGCAATCCGTCTTTATTTGAATTTATACACAACAAATGATGGAAGACCACCAAGAAACATCAAGATCGTAATTGTAAGTAGATGATATATGTGTAAAACAATTTCTCTATTTGTTAAATATAGCATGGATGTTTTGATACATCATCATCGATAGATCGTGATACTGGTGGAAGAATAGGTGGTCAGTATTATCGTAGTCCAGATGTACCACAATTACCATTTATACCTACAGAATCTCAAGATCCATTATATGTAAGTGATTTGTTCTATCTATAAATTGGTGACGATTATTTTTGAATAATATGAAAGTTATCATAATTTATTCTCAGCAATACTAATCCTTGAATGATGGGATTCATTGAAGTTAAAGTATACTAGATATTTTGTACATAATCGAATCATATTTACCGTCACTTAAGAAGATGGACATATTGTTTTAAGAACTTTAGAGGATGGTGAGTTTTTTTCTATTAACTACCAGATGCGATCAATCATCCTCGAAAATTAATTTATGTTACTGAATCTAAAAACAAGCCCTAAGTTTTTTTATGTAAATATATGCGAGAAAGTTAGTCGTTACTTTTGAATTAGTGATATGCATAAAAGCCTTAGTGTATTATCTATAATGCTTGAAATAATACTTTATTTCAGATGATTAATCCTAAGGGACCAGCTGAGAGTCCAATACCATCAACATCACTGGTAGGAACAATCGATATCAATGTAAGTTATATTCAATTATACTGTTAAATAATATCATTTTCTTGATAATATATATTATTAAAATATAGGCTTTTTAAATACAGTATGAATAGGATTTAATTTATTTGTATTATTTTAATTTACATAGTTACCATCACCGAATAAACCGATACCATTTTCTCGTAAACCTGGTCAATGTTTTGAACAAATTCTTATCATTGGTGGTTCACACATAACAATGATTCGTTCACGTAATCCATTACATCAAATAGTTGGACCAGAGATCAATTTTGGTGGTACTGGTTATACATTTTCATTACCAAGTGATACTTATGAATTTGAAGTACATTTTGTTCAACCATTTACAATGAAATATGTTTTCATACCATATTCAGCTAATGTAGAAAGTTTTAAAGTAGAAGCATCACATGCTGGAATGTTAGCAGTATTTACTTCTAAGAATACAAATGACGGTTTAGTTGTAGATGGTTTTCCTACAATGTTAATTTCGATGTTAGTTATTACAATTACTCATACTACGGATGGATATTTACCAAGTCATATTACATTTAGTATTGTGAGTGATAATAATAGTTTACGCTGTAGAATTTCATAAAAAAATTTGTTTTTCTAGGGAGTATGTAATCCGATATATTCACCATCGAATGTAAGTATAATGAAAAGGGAGAATCTTTCGTTATTTCAATGCACTTTTAGGAAGGTAATGAAATTCCTGATATTACTGATTGTACATCTCAATTACGTTTACTTGGAAATCCTAAACAAGTAACTCGAGTAGATATCAAAACTCCGAAAAAACATATGAAAGCTACTAATTTAATCAATCCAAATCAAAATGGAATGGAATTTCTTACTGTAGAAACACATACAATCGATATCGTATTAACATCGACATTAGCAATTGACTCCATTACGTTTCATTCATTAAGTAATATTGATAGTTTTATGATTCAACTTCATCATTCACATCGATATTATCTTGAAATAACATCTAATATTGGTTCAAAAAGTATTAATAAACTTGGCAATGTACAAGCTAATTTAATACGTATTATTATTCTTGGTACAGAAGATGGTTTTCCACCAAATCATATATCACTTAAAATAGTAAAGATACACGTTTTTTATCTAAAATTAATTTAGGATTAATACATTTGATTTCTTCTTGTAAATATTAGGCTGCTTGTGTTCCAACACGTTTACCAAAAATAATGGCAAGTCCATTTAAAAATGTAAGATACATAATTTATTGAATATGAATTTTGTATACAATTATGTCTTTAAAGGAAATGATCACTAAACGAAGAAAACCATCAAAGTTTGATGTGAGAAAATTTCTATGTTTTAATATAACAAATAAAATCAATATAAAACTAAACAATGTTTGTATTTTAGAGAAGTCGTCCATTGGAAGTAATAGATTCGGTAGGTAAAATAATATAAATTTATTTTCTATGCTAGTTTTGAATGAAATAAACTTTACACATATATTTTATCAGGGACCATTGGGTCCAATATTACAAGACTCATTTCAACCACCACCGTCTGTAGAAATATCCGCTACTGTAGATGTATGTAAAAATGGAATTATATAATATTTTACTAGAAAACTTGAATAAAAATTCTCAAATTTAGGTGCAATTAATTCAAGAGCCTCAAATACAAATATTACCATCACCTGTACTTGTAAGAATAATTTATAGAAATTTCCATAAACATCAATGATTTTCAATTATTCATTTAATTTATGTGTAATTTTGGCAATAGGTCGCACCAATTATTGAATATGTGCCACCGATTAATTCACTACCACAATATGTAGAAAATCAAATTCCAGTAAATGTTATTCAACCTGAAACTAATCTAGAGGTATATAATATACTTTAATACCGTGGAGATTGATCCTTCTAAGTTATCTTCGTATCTTCATATATCCGTCGCACTTTTTCTTTTAGACTCCATTACAGGACATTATTCAAATACCACAACCATCCTATCTCACTCCATCACCTTCTGGATATACTTGTTCACTTAACTATCAAATTAATACCAATATTCATATCAACAACATTTGCACATTATCATCACCATCATCATCAATCTTTGATTCAACTGCATCAAACTCATTATTCACCGATAATGTTAGTTGTTTTAATTTCATCATTTTTATATCATCATCTCCATTTCTTTCTTCTTACATAGGGTTATTCATTTGAATCTCATCATTATCCATTTCAAACAATTGTTATTAGCTTGAAATTTACTGGTTATGTTCAGTCATTATCATTAGGATCACAATC